GAATAAAAAAAATTACTAATTTCAGTTAGTTGGTTATTTTGTAAAAGATAGTTGAAATAGTCAAAAATAATAAGAATAAAAAAATTACTAATTTCAGTTAGTTGGTTATTTTGTAAAGGATAGTTGAAATAGTCAAAAATAATAAGAATAAAAAAAATTTTAATTAGTTGGTTATTTTGTAAAACTAATCGACTAAGCTGAACAATCCTGAATTAAAATTAGAATAAATCATAATGACAATATTTTGATTACTGTGATAGCTGAAATAATCAGAAACACTCAATTAGTTGATCATTTTTGTGACACTAATTGATTATATCAATTGATCAAGTTAATTGCACAGTTCTAACAGGAATGTATAGTAGTCAGTAAGTAATGTTTCTCTTGCTGTTCAGGGAATTATTAGAAACCACTATTCAACAGAAATATTTGAACTACAGTAAGCAGTCCATGTCCAACTTATTCAATGAGGTAGATACTTTAGGTCCAACCAGGTAACAAAAGTTTACAACTTTCTTACCATTAACTTAATTATGAAGCAAAATAAGCTGTAGGTGAAGTAGAACAGTGCTATCTGAAACTGTAGCACTAATTAATCATACTGTTTTAAGTGTTTTAATTTAGATGTTTGATAGAGAGAGCTCGCAAATATTATAACAATGAGATCTGTAAATTTCATGCAGTGCAAAGAAACAAGGGTACGATATAAATACAAGAAATAAATGAATCAGCATGAATGATGAAGAGCATTCAGTGTCAAAAAGATTATTATTCAATTCATCGAGAGTTGGTGCATCTATCATCTGTGATCAATTGAGTAAGACAGACAGTGAGTGAGTACATTTGTGAATGATTATTGATAAATCAAGTAAATTTATAACACTAAGTTAGGGATACCTTAATGTTGTATTTGAAATTAGCCAATGATAGAATATCTTAGAATAATATCTTAATTATTATTTATAAACCAATTCAAAGTAACTTGTTACTTTATCATTAGAAATGTAGCCGAGAAAGTGTATGATTGAGCTGCTATTTATTGTACGAGTAGAATGGATGAATGTTTTCTTTATTCATTATAACATTTTAAAATTCACAAAAGATGCATGTATTATTTATTATTATATGTATATTGAAATGAGAATAAGAAAATAGAATGAGAAGAAAAAAAAGGCATAACTTTGTGCCCATGTCTTGGAACAGATAAGAATAAATATTGGAAACAAACTTAACAAAGAGTACGCACAATTTTTCACCATATTGTTATAATGGTTTCTTTTGAGTTATTTATTAAAGTCTAGTCCGCTCAATGAAAGGAAACAACTTATTTCTTTTATTATACATTATAGAAATGTCACAGAATCTAATGTCCACAGTATAAGCCTAACTATACAACATAAAAGAGAACTAAGACCACTGAAGCAAAGACTTTCTCAAGAATCTACAATCCTTCAACTCTAGTCTTACTAAATGAGTGATAAGTTATCTTTCTTCCACCTATCTTCACATCTTATATTATTAAACCACATTCCAGGCAATCACAAAACTTTGAGATGTCATAAATCATCACTACTTTACACCAAACTGCCTATAGCAAACAACTGCAAACATTTAAATTAAAATATTAAACACACAGCCAACAACAACATATCTGTAATTCAGTGTTATTTTTGTTCAGCACAGATCTCATGTGGACTTGTAGCACATTAGTGTTGTACTTTACTGTTGTAAAAACTCAGTATCCAATCTTATTTAGATAGTTTGAATCAGTTTTTTAAGCAAAAATAAACTTGATTATATTAATGGTTTTTAGACAAAAAGAAGTAATTTCAATAAAAAAACTAGAAAAAATGTAGGCATAGCCTAATGATGCTCTCCAACTTCTAAACAAAACTTATAAATTTGGGTAGCGCTAAGAGAAATCTAACAGAATATGGGTCCCCATGTGCATGGAGTATGTCATTTGAATTATTTTTGAATATAAGGAATTTTGTAACATTCAAACAAGCTACATTACAGACCAATACATCTGCCACCTATTCAACATGTACAAAGTTTTATTTTTAGGAAGGTGGGATTTTGAATATATCTGGAGCAACCTAAGGTTGCCTTTAAATAAAATATATTGTCATAACATCTGTATAAAATATGCAGTTACACCTGTAAGTCAAATGCCAATAATATAACACATAACGATGATATTAGATCAAATGTGACAGAAAGCACAGCATTTCATAAGAAGCTCTAACTTTTATAGGTTTGTGTAAAGAGATGATTACCTCTACTGACTTGCAATGAATGTATATAAAACACTGAAATTATTACTAGCAACAGAGCAATGCTTTGATGGCTTGAGTAACTTATTCACCAATATGCCATGATTATTTTCTTCAGTCATGCTACTGAGTTGGTTTCCACCTATATCAAACATATGAACCAAATTATGATAACCCAAGTATAAGTAGTATAATTAAAGATCATTTGGCACATACTTGTCTTACTTTCGATTGATCCAAGTCATTCTGTATTACCTCAACATCCTCAATATAAGAAATACCCATGAGTATTTTGTTATCAGAAAATGTTACTAATTTACTAATTATGCCATTATCAATATCATTAGTGTAAATAAGAAAAAAACAAAAGCTCAATCAGTGACCCCTTAGACACTCCACTAACAACAAAACAAGCACTTAACTAGTAACAAGACAAGCATTCCACAAGTAACTAGACAGGCACTCAACTAGTAACAAGGCAGGAACTCAACTAGTAACAAAGCAGGCACTCTACTAGTAACAAAGCAGGCACTCTACTAGTAACAAAGCAGGCACTCTACTAGTAACAAAGCAGGCACTCTACAAGTAACAAGGCAGGCACTGTACAAGTAACAAGGCAGGCACTGTACAAGTAACAAGGCAGGCACTCTACAAGTAACAAGGCAGGCACTCTACAAGTAACAAGGCAGGCACTCTACTAGTAACAAGGCAGGCACTCTACTAGTAACAAGGCAGGCACTCTACTAGTAACTAGGCAGAAACTCAACTAGTAACTAGGCAGGAACTCTACTAGTAACAAGGCAGGAACTCTACTAGTAACCAAAGCAGGCATTTAACTAGTTTTTTTTGTTTTTTTTAGAGCAAAGCCACATTAGGTTATCTGCTGTGTCCACCATGGGGAATTGAACCCTGGATTGTAGCGGGACCACTCAACTAGTTACAAGTAGGCACTGAACTTGTAACAAGGTAAATACTCAACTAGTAACAAGGCAGGTACTCTACCAGTAACAAGGGTCTTATAGATCTGAGTGGATTCCATTAATCAAAACCTTTTGTTTCTCCCATCTAACCATCGTACAACACAACCTCCACATATGTGATCTCTCTATTTATTTCCAAGGGATTAGTTTCTGCAACATTCGGAAAAAAAACATGAAAAAGCCTTGAAAGAAATATGACAAAATTAGTAAGGTTAGAGTTCCTGTGGTGAATCCATTATCAATTCACTATTAACAATTCCCCAAATATGTTCCACATCATCTTTTAATTTGAACTCATTATTGAATTCACTAATGATAAATCTTCTCTCATTGCCTCAAATTCAAAATTAATTTTTCCAAATATTGGGAACTAAAATTTCATGAAACAGGAAAAAGTATTGCACTTACTTCCAAATGACTTTGCTGATTCAATTGCTTTATGCGATACCTCTTCCAGGTCACCTGCAATGCTACTACCAGTACCAGCACCAATGGATTGCTTTGAATTTTCTGTTTCATCAGCACCATCCTTCAATGCTGGGCTGTCTGGAGTTTCTGATAAATCAGAATCTGGGCCAGAAGTGGAGCCAGAACTACCGCTATCTTTTCTTTTCCTTCCAGTACTCTCTGTCCGGCCTTCCTCAAGTAAATTTTCGGTGTTTCCTTTAGGTTTCAATGAAGATTCTTCACTGCAGAGAACTTTCGATTCTGACGAAGTCCCTCCTACTCCTAGCTCATCTTTGCGCGTTTCTTTATTGCTACCACTACCAGTACCCTTCCAGATATTTGCTATAAAATTCATGTTATTTTAGGTTTGTTAAATATTAAATGAAAAAATAAATTGACTTTAATTTTAAAAATAATAAAAACTACGACAAAATTTGATCTGTTCACAAATGATTAGACTATTACTCCTTTGCAAATTGTAACTTATCTCACAAAGTGTTATAATTGAAATTATGGCTTCCAATACGTTACTTCTCCACGTTATAACACAGAACTGATAGTGATAGACTAATGGAAGTGTGATCGAGAATTTTTCAAGACTTCGATCCAAGCAAATTTTGTGGATAGTAACGTTTCATCTCGTGAGCCTAAGCGTCTTTCCCAAACATAATGTCTCAATAATTAGAAAATGTAAAACATTACAGGAAGCCATTTTGTGTCTAAATACACTATCAGAAGAAAAAGTATTAGAGTTTATTTTAACACGTGCTTACCAAAATCAATTTTATCATTAAGAATGTTAAACAAAACATATACCAATACATTTGCTGTTTTGTATTATATATATATATATATATGCATAGATACATAATTAATTACAAATTAGTTTATTTCTTCCATGACATTTCTGTAAACTTCCTTTACTTGTACGCTTTTGTAACTTTACCTCTAAGTGCCTAAGTTTATAAACGACGCTCAAACAGAAATATATCTTTAACAGTACGATATCTAACGTAAAGGACTGACATGTCTTGGTGGTTAGGGCGCTCGACTAGCAATATACGAGACGCGGATTCGAATCTCTGGCTATCGAACATGCTCGACCTTTTAATCGTGGGGGTATTATAATTTGATGGTCAATCCCACTATTTGTTGGTAAAAGAATAGCCCAAGAGTCAGCGATGATTGGCGTTGACTAACTGCTCTCTCTCTAATCTGTAATTGCTAAATTAGGAACGGCTGGCACAGACAGCTTTCATATAGTTTTACACGAAATTGAAACCAAACTAAACTAATGTAAAAATAAGCTTACTTTACTATTTCATTGATAATCGATCGAGTAACTGGATATACGCGATAACCAATACTGAACCAAATATTTCCCTGAAAGTAAATACTTCACAAAACTGACTGACCGACACTATACCTATAAATGCTCATTCACTATTCATTGCTCGCCCATAATAAAACAGTGATTATCGTATTGTTACCTCTCCGTTTGTTAATTAACTTTCCGTAACTTCGTTCCGACGAAATTTTAACGACACA